TTAAATTTATGGCTTCATTGTAGGACTTTCTCATGCAGTCTCTGATCTGGCGTCATTACTGACTTTGAGACGAACTGGGTCCTTAATTGTGTAAATAGATTAATGTCTCTCATGCATAAAGTTGGTTTGTGCACATGTGTTGGAAAGCCTTCAGCCCTGGATGATCGCCATGTTCATTCATTCTGGATGTAATTAACATGACTCATCAACCTTTCCTGATTATGGATGCTGTGCAGCCTTGTACTTTATATCTCATCAAATTAGGCTGCTTGTGCTGAAATCCTAGCACCAACCTCTAAAGCAATTCAAAGGAAATGTTTTAACTATTTTGATTCACAGATTACAAAATATTTGACAGAAGAGACTCACCTGGAACTTCCATGTTGTGGTCAACAAGATGGAGAGATATGTCACTGCCTAATACCAAAGGGAACTTATAGAACTGAACTTGGTTTCTTGTAGAAGGATATCAATATTGGTGCAAAGACTGTTAGTGCTAATTTTTACAACATACACACATACATTATGTCATACAGACTTGCCAGGTTCTGTAAGTTTTTCAAATAGCTACAGTATATAAATGCAATTTAGGTAATATCCTGCAACTTTTTTCCATAAATACAGCTCCCATACATCCACACTGGACCTTGTGGTGAAGTCTAATCATCACCGTCTTGCTTACTTATACTTTCATTCCATTTTAAAATTTCATTAGTACTGGTGGTTGGATTATAAAAATTACAGTAGTAATTCTCAATATAATTGAAACAGATTTGCCAGAGAACAGTATTTTTGTTGAGTTAGTATTAATTCTTATTAATAATGGGAAAAATTAATTCTAATGTTGCAGTGCTGCAGAAAATAATTTAATGGTTAACTATTGCAATCCAAAGCAATATATTGATAAAATTAATGGTAATTCTGATAAAAAGATATGACTGCATAATCTCATGTAAAAATGGAGAAAAAAATGCTTACTACTTGGCTCTTTCAGCTTCAGAATTCTTGCGTAAATTGAAATTGTAGCTGACTGGGGAATACAGTTCGCATAATTTTGTGTTCTAAATTGTTCAGAAGTTTGCTTAGAGGAATGTGATTTTTATTCTTAGTTATAGTTATGTTAAGCTCAAAGCTGTTTGCACAAACAAAAAAAATCTTATTTCCAGAAGACTGACGTTTGTGGTATTCGTTTGCTGGAATTAAACTGCAATTGTTATTCCTGTGAAGCAGAATGTAAAGTTCTGACCTCTGATGCATGGCCCTTGGGATTCACAGAACTTCTAACATAAACCAAGCTGTTCTCTTCAAATACAATATTTGAATTGAGACCTAACCTGTGGGAAGATGTGATGAACTGCATAAATGTTGTATGCTTTGAGGAAAGGTGAATTAAAATTAAGGGCAATACTTTTCTCCTGGGAAAAGCAGTAACCTCATACAGGTGAAGAAGCAAAAGGGATAACCAAGGGACAGTAGAAGCTTGAATGTACACTTATGGTCAAGCTAAGACTAATGTCTTCTCAAAAAGTATGGAATAAATTGTTTCTTGTCCATGTTCTCCATGAGTCCAAAGTTCCTTTCTACCACAGTTTATTCAGCATTTAGCTCCTGCTTTTTTTCTAGTTCAGAAATGTTGCTTCTGTTTCTTTCTAAATCACTGATTCTGCACCCAGTCATTCATTCTCCCACAGTTCATTGCAGCATTAGTGGATCTGGATGGACTTGTGTCTTTGCAAGAGCAAGGTCATACCTGTGGTAGTTTAGCTTCATGATAATGTTCCCAACAACCCTATTAAAAGATACAGTAGAGAACTGAGCTGCTGGTTCTAACAAATTACCTGTTGTTGAGTGTTACTTAGTTGGAGTGTTTATAAGGCATAATAAATGTAACTTGTAGCAAGCTGAAAAGGAATAGCCACAGGGGATATCAATAGAAAGTGCAGGAGACTACATTGATTGCGGTCTGGAACGGAAGGGACTCAGAATACTTTGAAGAAAGTGAAGTGTATAAATTTGAAAAGGCTCATGCACAACCAGAGTAGAGTTCTTAAACATTTATCAGCTAAATGCTTTTTCTCTGTAGCTACTTTTTCACACATATACCTTTCTAAGTGTATTCCATAGTCTAGAAATATCACAGAGTATGTAAAATCTCCTGCACAAGACATTCTTGGACTTAGAGTAATATTGGTTCTGTTAATTGAAGTGAATACTTGGAATCTGCTTCAAATACTTTTAATTTTTCCAAACTGCTAGTGTATTTTCCTTTATGGGGAACATCCTCAAGTGAGCCAAGAGAATTTCAAGGCACTGATATATGGCACTAATTTGAGGTAGAAGTGGAATATGTAACTGGTTCCTGCAGCCAGTCCAAGATTCTCAGGTTTTTTTGAATCTCTCAAACTGTGTTTTAGATTGCAGAACCAGACCAGACTTTGAAAGTTACTTTTCATCTGCTGTGTTAGTTGGCATAAAATTTACCAAGTGAAAGGTAAGGTAATAAAAACATGCTAAAGAGACTTTGTCATTTATTAAAGATAAAATTGCTGCTTTGCATTTAACATCACTTAACTTGGATATTTCAGTTCTCTATTTACAGAATTAGGGGGAAAGGTACCTGTATGTCAGCTGAGCATCTAAAGGTAGTGAGTAAGTAGAAGAGATTTTCTGACACCAAGAGGAAAAAAAAAGTAGTCTTTAGACTAATAGGCAGAAAGCTGCTTCTGATATTCTTCAAGGTTTTCCCAGGAATTACTTCAAGTAACCTATTTGTGATGGATTTTTAACTAGTTATCCTTCAAATCTCAAAAAATCATATATAAAAATTAGTTACATCTTATCACCCTAGTAACTCTTAATTTGATTAGATAAACACCAATACATAGACAGCAGAAGTGGTGTCTCCATTTTACCTGACTGAAAATACACAATTCTTAAAATGCCTGATTAATACTAAAGGCACTCAGATTTCTGCTTTGAAGAAAGGCAGTCCACAGCAGTCTGAATTTCAGCAAGGTGGACATAAATATATTCCAGCTCAGCCCCTTTGAGATTCTTGCATGAGTCATCTCTGCTTTCCTTAGTCAATCCCTTTCTTCTTGCTCAGAGTAGGTCCAGCATATCAATAAATAAATGAGATTCTCAGAAAGCAACTAGCTAACTGCTTTCCTTGATGTGAGTAATTGGAAGAAGAGAATGTAGCAGGGAGGCTCTTTGAGACATTACTGTTTAGTTCTTCAGGAAGCAGAGAAGTTGGGGTGTATAGCAGCCTAACCAGCTGGAATCACAGGAATGCAGAAGGTTTATGGTTGGAAAGGACCTCTGGAGGTCATCTTGTACAAATCTTGCTCAAGCAGGGTCGCCTAGAACCATTTTCCCAGGAACATGTCAAGGTGAGCCGGCTATAATGGACACCACACACCCAGGGGAGCTGGATGTTCATGTTTGGCTGCTTGACAGGTTTGGATTCTGGCTGGCAGTTCAGTTCCTACACATAATGGTCCCAACACAGGCTTAGACCTCTACACAGTGTCAGACAGTGCCCTCACAAGAGGGCCCTCACCCTGCTGGCCATGCTTTTTTTATGTAGACCTGCATACAACTGGCTTTGTGGGCTGCAGGCAGACATGGCCATCTCATTTCTACTTTTTAGCCTACCAGTATCCCCAAGTCCCCTTCTCCACGAAGCTGAGCTTAATACATTCACCACTGAATCTGCATTGATATCAGGCATTGCCTTGACCCAAGTGCAAGACCTTGTCTCTTCCCTCAAGCATATTACTTCTTAGTAGCGTATTCCTTAAAGAAACAAGTGATTCTCCTTTTGTTTCTGTCTTAATTTCCCTTGAAAAAATTCTGAAAGAACATTGGGAATTTATCACATTCTCAGATATGGACCTCTCATAAAAGTAACTGTCGTTTAATTCACTGTGATTTCTCTCAGGATATAATTCTTAATATATGTCATTAAAACAGACCATAAAATACAAATCCTGTTTAATGAAATATTTGAGCATATCAGTCAATTAAGATAAAACTGAGATGAGCATATTTAAAACTTTTAAAATCAAATCTAGTGATGTAAATAAGCACCTAGCCTAAACATTTCAACTGAATTTCTAAATGCCAATAGGTGTGTATCACCTTAATTCAGATTATTTTTTTAAATCAAGTTCAACCTTGAGTTTAGGGAACATTCTTTATTGTCCAAATTGTCATTTGTGTTAGGAGTCAAAATATTTCCAAAGAGAAACCTCTTAGCATAAATTACTTCTCTTCATTAGCAAATGTCAGTAGTCACTCTACATTACTTCGTTGTTCTCCAGATTTTAGCACTCCGGAAAACCAAGGAAATTTCACATAAGAAACACATATTTGTCAGGTTGCTATAGAGTATATTTTCTGTTTTACCTATAGCTATCTGAGCCTTTTTTAATGCTATGCAGATATTTTTGCAAATGTAACTAAGGATTAATAAGCTGCACTTGACAAAATTTTGTATCTTGAAGTCAATTGGAATTTGATGGATTTGAAGTAAATGTAAACAGAAATGTTAATGAAACAGCTTTTTCTCTCTATGGTGGTGAGGGAGTACATGTCAGGCTTGCAAAATGAAGTACAGTTCCCTATCCAAAAGCACAGCTCAAGTAAAACTGGATGTGATTCACAGCTGGAAAACTCTCCTTTCCTGTCTTACCCTAAAATGCATCTGTGCACGTTTCAGCTGTGAAGCCACAGCTGTCCTCAAAGCTGGTGAGTGGGTAGCTGAGCTGTATGACTCAAAGTTTCCCCTTTTATTCAGTCCTGTAGTGCTGAGCATGCAGAGGCACTTTCCACCCTAATTCATCATCTTTGGTATTGGCAGGTTTCTTGTGTAACAAACTGTCTTCAGGCACTTTGGGCTTTGGGGTTTTTCCCCCATCCTCTTTTTCTGTCTTTCAGGTTTTCATAGAGTAGTATCACATACTTAGTTCCCTTTCTTTTTTGTTTTTCTCTGGCAGGTGAGAAGCCAGGGACAGAGCAAGATGAAGTTAAGCTGCAGAACGCCAGCAAGCAGATTGTGCAGACTGCTATCCTCCGAGCAGTGCAACAAGTTTCCCAGGAGAGCCAGCAAAAGGAGAAGCTAACAAACAGCACTACAAACATCCAACTAGAAAGAGGAAAACTAATGAAGAAGCATGAAAAGAAGTAAAGGAGCAGATTGGGTTTTTTCAGTGCTCCAGTCTGCAGTGCTTTCAGCCTTCTCCTTAATATCAGCTGTATTGCTAGTGCAGTGCTACTGTTGTAAAGTAAACCAAAGTATTGTCTCACCTAGACATAGGGTAAAACTGCAATAGTCCTCAGCTGAGAAATATTAAGTGCATTAGATGAATAACTCCATATTTATGCAGTGCCTCTTAACAGAAACAATAACCATAGCTATACAAGTAGTTTCAAGCACAAGCTTTTATGATATGAACTTATTCTCAAAAGCTTGTTGTCAGTGCACTTTCATGTAAGTTCTGCGTGCAACATTTATGTCAGTTCAGCTGGATGGACTGAGTTACTGGGTTCACTGAAGCTGTCTTCGACGAAGAAATAGTTTGCTGTTGAGTGTAGCAGAATGCTTTCAGGCTGCCTTGAAGCATGGGTTTGTACTTTGCTTTGATTAAACATGAACTATGTGAAATGTCAGTATAAAGTGGATTTGGTAAGTTCTGTGAACCAATACCTTTTTTTCATCTTGATGAAAAAAAAAAGCAATCCAGTAAGACTTCAGTGACTGTGATCTATGACTGTGATCATATACCTATGATCTATGTCTTTTTTTCAAGAAGTTAAAATAAGTACTGAAGTTTCAGTCTACTTATTTGAAATACTTCTGCATAAAAAAATCACTTGTGCCTCAACTATTCCTTTTAATTTTCTTGCTATTGAAAGAAGATTAACTGATCTGATGATTAGGAGTTAGCCAGCATTTCCTTCAGTTTTGCAACTTTGCTGGGGTTTGATTTACAGAAAGTGAAGACTGGAGTGTCTTCAAAAAAGGGGTTGAATTTATTAATATCTTCAAGGATGAAAATATACTCTGTCTGCATTCTGTCATGGTAGATATTTCTCACCTGCTGGGCATAAAGTGACTTTAAACATTTTCAGTTGTTACATAGATTCACCTTAAATAGCACTGCATTAAGCTGGTAATGCAGAGTTCATCCTTATTAACTTCTCTATATAGCTGAAGAAATCCATGTTCCTGAAAATACAAGCTAAATAAATGCTCTCTTCACTTTTATGCTCCCTTTTGGTAATGATAATTGCACTATTATATATCTGAAATGAACAACGGTATATTTAATTCTAGAAATTACTTGTAGCTATTTAATTCTAGAAATTACTTGTAGCTCTGCTTCAACTGAATTCTTGTAGTAATACACCTAGGAATATAGAGAAGCAGATGCTCTGCAAAACTTTCTTTATTGCTTTGCTACTCAACTAGATGGTTCTCAGAGAGACTGTGGGTTAGGTAATTGGCTGTTACTTACTGTGTCCTGTTGTTTATGTTAAATAATTTTGGGATTCCTTCTCATGGCCAAAGGCTTAGTCACGAATAACCACATACTGTAATATTAAGTCTTTGAAATCTGCTTAGTTTCTTTTTTTTAAATTTATTTTAATTTAACAGCACTGACTCATACAAGATAATGATTTAGCTCAATCTTCTTTCACTTAAAAATGCAAAGAAGAATCCAGCATGATTAAAGTTGTCCCAAATCCTCTAATAATGAAAACTGGCTTGGATTGCAAGTACATGGGTGATTCACTTCTATAAACACTGGGTGATGTTTTCCAACCAAGCAAACTTTGAACGGTGGAAGTAGTTGGGTCTTGAGCCATGTGTGTGTTCGTTGTGATAGTAACATTTTTTACCATTAGTTTTTTCATCAGTAACTCTTTTCTAAACATTCTTTGAGTCTTTGCTTTCTAAGAGTCTAAGAAAACTGACCATGAGTAAAGGTTCACTTCTGAGACTGATAGGCAGGCAAGTCTGGTGGATAAGGGAGAGGAAACCTATTGGAGAGACTCTGTGGTGCAAAACAGTGTTTGCTATGGACTCACCAAGAGTGCTGCAGGAAGGAAAGATATAGAATTCCCATTTCTTTGAGCTTATTCTACTTTTCCAATGTTTTTTGTTCCCAGAAATTTAAAATCTGTTTAGTTAGAGGTGGGGTATTTTTATGTTCCGGTGTTCCTGTAATTATGTTAATAATCTTCATGTAGTTTTGAAACTTTAATTAGTTTAACAGTCATGTCCATCATTTCCAGAGCCATCAGAAGTCTAATATCTTGTAAAATTAAAAAATGGTGGAAGCCTAACAAAGCCTCGAGGAAGTTTACTATGGTCTCCTATCAAGGACAAACAAAAGCTGCATTGTAAATAGTGCAGTTTTCCCTGAGAGCCAAATAATATGTCTCAAACCTATAGTATATATTCTTAAGTTACAGCATACATTTAGTATCTCCTGTTGACAAAGGGTGTTCTGCAGACCTGCACACCTTCTGCACACCTGCATCCACGATATGTAACAGATCTGTACAGAAGGGAGAGAACTGCAAAAGAGAAAACTTCACCCTTGGCTTGTTACATGCTTACTACATGATGAAAGCAGCTATTTTTGGTATCTTCACTGACAGATTATATTTTGTGGAGAAAATACAGACTATAGAAATTGTTACAGGTTTTAACACAAAGAAAAAACAATTTAAAGAAACTCTAAGTACTGTACATGTCTCTGGTTTCCCTTGTCAGAAGAAGGCAAGAAATTTTCAGATTCACTTCAGATTATTTTGTAGTAACAAATGCATTATTCAGCACAATAATTCATATCTTAGAAGTAAAAGACAATCAAAATTGTATCTATAGTTATTTAAAACAAACTCACCACCTTTTAGCACCTGTAGTGGTAAGTGGAGAGTTGTAAAAATATGTGAAATAACATTTATCTCAGTTCCAGAAGAACAGAAGAGTTGTGTGTCTGTAGCTATCCTGCACTATGCTTGCTATTTTAACATTCAGGTTGATTATCACAATTTTATTTCCATACTCACGCTATTCTATGTAAGATATTCAAGCAGCATTGCCTAAATGGAAATTCACATGGCCACAGCAGGATGTTGTAAGAGATTACTAAATACCACTGTATATAAAGATTTGAGTTCTGTGTGGTTACATTGGAAATCCCTGCTCTAAAATAAATAAAACCAACAACTGTGACTTGGAAACAGCCATATTAATTTTATCATATCAGAAAAATAAAAGCATTCTGTGATATTATATGTAAGAGTTGGAAATCCTTGAATATTTATTCAATAGTAAACAACCACCTAAAAATCTTACTGTATCTACTCATGTCATTTCTGATTTTTTTTCCCTTGGTGATGTTTTTTAATAGTCTCAGAATGTAGTATGTCTACAATGGTAAGTATATAAAATTGCTATATAACTAATCTCAATATGACTACCATGAAATACACTGCAATTGTTCTTTAAATGTGTGCTAATATCAAACACAGGAGTTAATGTGTCATTACTGAAGACTTTTCTAAAAAAAAAAAAGTTTCATTTAAATTAGGGGGGAAAATGAAAGGAAGTAGAATGAATTCTTGAAAGTATGTGGGATTGACCCTGAGTCTCTTGGTTATCCACTCAGGTCTGAGAAGAAATGAAATTAATAAAAATCTGACTCTTTATGTAACTCAATTTTTCTCAATGGGTTCCTGCAACCAATGGATGAAGTTCTTAAAAGAGTTTGTGGGAGTGAGGGGGAAACCCTGACCTGTTGGTTTGTCTTCTTCACCTGACACTCAGTAAGGAGTGAGTGACAATACTGATGGAGCCTCATTTGTAATGGATGGGATTTTTCATCAGTGGCTTTTGGTGCCTCATGATAAGCTCTGGCAGAATCTTTTTCCCTATTTTGGGTTTTCCAGAACAAAGGGGGTATCTGAGGCATAATGCACTTTTAGTTTGTGCTTTATCCTGCCGTTCAAAGGGCATAGAAGTAAGGTCTCTATTCTGTACTTCCAGAGTTTCATTCACAAAACCTGGTGGATGTGCATGGGCTTTTGTTTTTAAAGACCACTGTATCTTCCCTGGATTTAGTCAACATGCCCAGCAATTTCTTTAATCCTTAAAACTGAATGGATGAGCACACATACTAGCTGTGTTTGAGTGCTCCAGGGAACACCAAGAAATACATACATATTTTAAATCCATTTGCTTCTAAGCTTTTCTTGTCTGCCAGGCAGATTTTCTTTGTTTAATTAACATAAGCAGCTTTTCTTTCCTAATAACTTTTCCTCCAGTGACTTGCTACTTGGATTTTGTTATATGAGCTTACTAGTTTAAACACTAAAACAACAATAGTTCATGTTTAGTTTGGGTTTGATTAGAACCCCCGTGGTGTTACACATTTCATTGCAGTGTGGCTTTTGCCTTTTCTTTCACTAAAGATGAGTAACAACAATAAATGATGTTCTAAAGAGAAGGAAATGTGTGGGGCAAACATTGTAGTTGTGTTTGTTTTCCCCCCTCAGTTACCTCTAGCAGGAGGCCACATGGGGCAAATCATCATAAATCATTCATATGCACTGTGGCAGTAGGTCAATGTAGAACTTGTACAGAAAGAGAGTAAACTAACTCTTATGAAAGCTGGAAACTGAACCCACCTGAGATGATTCCAAAATGTTAGGGAAGACACTTCTGGTAACTTTAAAAAAAATATTCCATGTGTGCTTTGAGAGTTGAAACCCATTTTAAAACAACAGCTAGTGAGGACTGTAATTGCTTGCTTTTTTATGAGATGGAAAATGAACACTACTTTATTTTTCTGAAGGCTTAAATGCTACCTCTTTGTTTCTATGGAAGACTTTGAATTATGTCTTCTGGCAAGGCGAACCATTTGCTCCTGCCCTGTGAAGTGAATAGCTGCTCTTCTGTGTGCACATGCATCCCAGAAGGTTAAGGCCTTGTCTCCAGTTGCTATAGCAGATGCCCTTGCCCTATATTTGCTTAGTAAACACAGCTTCTGCCAATGCTGTTCACCCCTCATTTCTTTGCCATGAGGCAGCTCATTCTGAAAATCCTCAGCCACAAGATGAACTGTGAAAGTCATCTGCTTCCAGAACAGGGAAAGTGAAGCAAAAAATAAATCT